CTTGTATTTAAAACTTCTTTTGCTAAGGATTGAAGAAAAGTCACCTGGTGCTGTAAAAACCTATTGATCCAAATATTCCTAATAACTGAAAAGCAGTTTACAAGCAATTTCCAAAAGTGATTAGAAAAGGAAGTATGTGAATCCAGTGTCCTTTCAAAGGCAACAACTATGGTTTGAGCAAGATGGCTATTCCCTCATCTCCCAGAGCTCTAAACCTGCTGGAGACTGCTATCTGGTGGTCTCCTCATGAGGAGCAGCTGTCTGGAGCACTTGTGGGCAATCTCAGGTTCTCTCCTTATCTGGAGAGGAATTATCAAAGAGCCTGTCTGCACTCCTGCTCTTTATTCTGCTGCGGTTGTTGGCTCTGCTTTTTGCAGAGCCATCTTCAGTCCGCCATTTCTTCCTCGGAAGTCTGAGGTCTTTTTTCTCCACATCTTAGAGAAACTGTGGATTGTTCCTTTCTTAGTTATACTGATTTCTATATTCCTTCCTTATGTAACAGTCAAAATGAATATATTAATATGTACTTTCAAATGTGTTTGTGTATAAAGCAGGTATAAAGACTAGCTGTAGCACATTTTATATACATTTTTCTATATGATTTTGCAAATGGCAGCCAAGGCAGATGTTATGTATTATAAAATGTTGTTATAGGAAAGCACAAAAATGTTAACAGGCCATTGTTCCTTTGCATGAATGTACATTTCTTGAGCAATAGGTATTTCCTAGTGCTGCAGTGTTACATTGTAGTTGAGTTGGATAAATTTTTACACAATAAAGAAAGTAGAGCACATTTTAAATTACTTTATTATCTTTTGCTTTTTTAAAAAATATGTTTTTAGATCTTATATTGTTATAAAAAAAAATCCTTTAATTTTTCTTCTGTACTTGAGAATAGTTTATGGGTTGTATGCATTTATATTTATGAAGTATGGAAATACCCATTCTGCTTCAGGAGTGACTTTACAGAAAACAATAAATTTATTTATTTATTTATTTTATTTTTTATTTATATTTCAAATTTGGTCACCACCCATCTCACTAGGAAGTGACTCTGGGTGGTTT